TTAAACCAGGACTCAACCAAGACTAAACCAGAATTAAACTGGGACTAAACCAAGACTAAACCAGAATTAAACCAGGACTAAACCAGGGCAAGTGTGAACAATATTAAGACTTAAGATGTGAAGACCAGACAAGTGGGACTAAACTGGGCTCAAACCAGGACTAAACCAGGACTAAACCAGGATTAAGCCAGGACTAAACCAGGACTAAACCAGAACTAAGCCAGAACTAAGCCAGGACTAAACCAGGACTAAACCAGGATTAAGCCAGGGAACGTTTGAACAATATTAAGATGTGCAAACCAAACAATCAGGACTAAACTCAAACCAGGACTAAACCAGGCCTAAACCAGAATTAAAACCAGAATGAATCCAGGAATAAACCAGGGCTAAAACAGGACTAAACCAAGGCAAGTGTGAACAATATTAAAATGTGACAATTGGGACTAAACTCAAACCAGGACTAATCTAAACTGAAAATTAATATGATGCCATCAACATTCCCTGGGGGTGTGATGCTGACTGGAGGCACTGCTCCGTCTCAAGCTCTGTTACTCAAGTCTGACTAAATCTGCATTTTGTTTTTAACACATCTAATGAGAAAGAGCTGTCTTGTTTGCTTGCAGATGAGATGATTTATGCTGATAAACAAGTCCCTCTCAAATAAAATTACATTCACATTTACCCGACAGTTTTTCCATTGATCACTCTCACTTTTTTGTTGGAAATCAAACTCCTAAACATAACCATCGACGTTCTTATTGATCACTGGCTCTTGAAAATGCGCCGTTTAAATCCTTTTTATATGTTTTCTGACTAATGTGTGTGTCTGCTAATCTGTGTCACCGTGGTAACTGATGAATATCTCGGCCATATACACACATACACATGAAACTCTCCCAGCGTGACGTCACTGAGAAGAATCAGCAGCTATGATTAGACTAATATAAATAGATGACCCTTTCCTTTTGGTAGCTCATTGTCTAATCTGTCAGAAGAATGTGTTCCTTGCGGGCAAACTGTCCCTGAATTTTGGAAAGAATTTTCAGTGCTGATTCTTTTTTTAGACCCCAGCTCTACTTCATGTATTTTTGTAATTTTCTTATCATTTTTTTTCCTATTAGCTGCCACTTGACTGATGTAAAACTAAGATAAATATTTACCACAGGTACTATGTCGCAAAAACCAATCAAAAACCTGGAAACCCGACATAAGCGCTTTAAGACATGGGTTTGATTATTATCAGAAGCAGAGCAGTATACGTGGTTGTGCATGGGGTGATAATTTTTCCCATTGTATTTCCTGCGTCAGCTGGAGGAGTTGAAGTATCTCGGGGTCCGGAGGGGAGGATGGAGCGTGAGATTGACAGGTGGATCGGTGCAGTGATGCAGTCGCTGAATCCGACTGTGGTGGTGATGATGAAGGAGCTGAAGCAAAAGGCAAAGCTTCGGATTTACCGTTCCTCTCACCTAAGGCCATGAGCTTTGGATAATGATCGAAAGGACAAGAAGGTGGATACAAGCGGCTGAAACGAGTTACCTCCAGGGTTCCAACTTTTTTTCAAAACAAACTAAATTTCTAAAGTTTTACATGACTTTTTCATGACCTAAAGTGAATTTCCCATGACTTTACGGCACCTACATGTGTAGAATTGATCAGACTTTTAGGGAAGGGGTGTCAAACATACGGCCCTATTTTCTACTAAAATATTTTAATTATATTTTCCATTAAAATATTGGTAATATTCTGCACTGTTTAGCATAGCAGTGTCTCCAGCGTCTCTGTACGTGGCCCCTCCCACCAGTGCAGCACAAATGAAGACTTGTCTCTTTCCAAACGCTCTTAAAGGACGATGGTTTTGACTGTTGACCGTGACAACCTCATCAGCAAAATGACAAAAATGAGAAAAGTGGAGCCGAGTGCAGGATTTTCCAAGAAAATTTGACTTATTCCTATTTACATACAAGTTCATGTTAAAACATTGTGTTTGAAATTGCATTTTTTCTTAAAGTTTCAGGTTGTTCATAATATTATAATATTTTGTAAAAGAAAGAGTCCATCAATTCAAAAAAGATTTCTGTAATAGATTTGTGTTTCTCTGCACAAATATTTCAACTTCTTTTTGGGGTTTATATGCCATGAGTTTTCTGATCAGGCCCCTTTGGGATCAAAGTAGGTTGGATACAGCCCCCGGACCAAAATGAGTTTGACACCCCTGTTTTAGGGCTAAATATATGAAATGTTAACCCTTTCCACTCACCTTATGGTTTGGTTTTATAGTTTTTTTAACATTCAAAATACTGTCAGTGCATTTATTGTCGTCTCTTTTAAAGCTAAAGCTGCATATTTGGAAATAATCATAATAGCCTAATGACAACTTAACTGAACGCTGTAGTTGCGTGAAAGAGACATCAAAATTCTATGACTTTTCCATGATTTCCATGACTGTGATCACCCTGTACCTCTGCAGAGTAGACGAGGATCTCAGAGTAGAGTCGCTGCTCCCCCCACGTCGAGAGGAGCGGCTGAGGGGAGGGCGTCTGATCTGGGGAGATGTTTTTAAACAGAAACCTGTTTACCCAAAAAAAAAAAGGACTTTCAACAAGACAAAGTTTAATTTAGACCTAAAAAAGAAACATCCAGCTTTTATTTTATTTTCCATTGATGCATCAGAGGCTCCATTTTCCCCAAACACAGTTAGGTCCAACAACAGAAACTTTACGTCAGGCTCACAAATATTGATGTTTGACCATATACTTTTGATAAATGTAGCACTTTTCCACCTTCGGGGCACTCAGAGCACTTTACAGCAAGGAACCATTCATATCTCAGTATACACAGTCAATGGATGTGAGGCTTTCATCTGCCCTCATCAGCGGATCTGACCCCTGTGATGTTTTTGTCCGCCAACCTTCAGATCAGTGAACGAACACTCTACTAACTGAGCTACGATCACCCACAGGTTTCAGGTTGAGGTCAGGGTTAGGATCATGATCAGAGTTAGGATCAGGGAACAGATCGGTTCAGGGTTTTGGGACAGATTTGCAAACAAAACTGAGCTGTGATGTTTAAGCAAAAGAAACTAATAAAGGGATTAGTCATTAGCCCAACTGTATTGAATAGATGATAAAAACTACAGTCAGCGTCTCTGAACTTTAACATTTGCTGTGATTACATCTGCTGATTATGAAATTACATCTCTCCATGGAAAATACAGCACGCAGCATTTGGCATTTGGAGTGACATGAAACTCTAAGCCCTGCCCTGGACAAAATGCCGAGAATTTAGGGAGTTCCCATCTAACAACTTATAACAGAGAAATATATGATTCAATTCACCAGTTTTTCAGTGATTCTACGGTAAAATGGATTCGTCTGAAATAGATGAGACAGGCCGAGTCTCTGTGCGCTGGAGGAAGGGCTGAAGCTCTTATATTAAAGCCGTTTTTTCTCATGTTACACTGTGAACTGCGGATGTTTATAACCCAGCTCCTCATTTTCACTGTAATGTTGTTTTTACAGCAGGATCAATATTATGATACACAGGCTCGGCGGAGACAGTATATCTCTCACTTCATCTATAGATTTTTTTGTCTATTCTGCTTCGCTCTTCAGCAGATTTAAACGTCACATCTTTCCCCTCAGTGTCAATTAGAACATTTCTTATAGCAATTAAAATGTGCTGTAATGACCACCTGGAGATAGGAATGTGTTTTTTACAGCTACTTTAATTGGATAAATGCAAGACAGATATATTTAATGACATACTGTGGAACATTCTGGGCAAAGATCATTGTATTTAAGATTTCTGTTTTCCCATTTTGGCCATTTTTTTAGGTTTAAAATTTTGCCTCCTGGTTGGAAATCATTAGTCAGGCTTGCACCACCTAGTGCAGGCATGTCTAAACTACGGCCCGTGGGCCAAATGCAGCCCTCAGACAAATCTTTCTTGGGCCTCAGGCTTGCAGGTGAATTGGCCCAAATTACATGGCATCAATTAGAAATTAAATTTTTACTGCAAGTTTTTTGAAAATCTACTTTGATAAGGCTAATATTTAACACTTAGTGTGTGGTTTTAAGAATCGTAACATGAATAAAGACTGGTGGCTCATTCTAACCTGATAAACATGCACATATTTCAATTATTCACTGTATTGAGCACCAGTCTACGACCCTCGATCAGCCCTCTGGTACATCTGTGTTTAGATATGTGGCCCTTGATGAAAAATGTTCAGACACCCCTGACCTAGTGCCTCTGCTCAATTTATTTCTCTCCAGCGACTAGGTCAGGAATCGGAATACACTAGAAGATTTGCAAAAACCTCGGAAGTGCATGTTCGGGGCATCAGCCAATCAGCGAAGAGCCATNGATGTTATGTATTTTATATATACTGTATTTCCTTTTTTTTTTCTTAGGCTAAACCCAAGACTAAACCAGGGCTGGATTATGACCAAACAAACAAGACAAACCAGGACTAAACCAGGACCAGGACTAAAACAGGGAAAGTGTGAACAACATTAAGATGTGAAGACCAGACAATTGGGTCTAAATTGCCAACCAGGACTAAATCAGGACTAAACCAGGACTAAACCAGGTCTAAACCAGGGATAAACCAGGACGAAACCAGGGATAAACCAGGACTAAACCAGGGCAAGTGTGAACAATATTAACACTTAAGATGTGAAGACCAGGCAATTGGGACCAAACTGGGCTCAAACTAGGACTAAACCAGGACTAAACCAGGACTAAACCAGGGCTAAACCAGGACTAAACAAGGACTAAACCATGACTAAACCAGGGCAAGTGTGAACAATATTTTGACTTAAGATGTAAAGACCAAACAATCGAGACTAAACTGGGCTCAAACAAGGACTAAATCAGGACTAAACCAGAACTACATCAGGGCAAGTGTGAACAATATTAAGATGTGAAGACCAGACAATCAGGACTAAACTGGGCTCAAACCAGGACCAAATCAGGACTAAACCAGGACTAAACCAGGACTAAACCAGGGATAAACCAGAGCAAGTGTGAACAACATGAAGACACAAGACATGAAGACCAGTCTGACGCACATCAGTCTCTGTCATTATGTCTACCTCTCCATTGTCACGGTGAGTGTGTGAGTGTGTGAGTGTGTGAGTGTGTGAGTGTGTGAGTGTGTGAGTGTGTGAGCCGCAGAGCCCCCATACTCCAACGTCTTGGATGAAGGAGTTTGACCCGTGTGTTCATCCACTTGAGTGACGCACAAATGTATCATTGTACAATCCCTCTTTTTTTTTATTTGTTCATAATCTTACTTCCTGGTTGGACCTGGAGAACAGAGGTAATGTCATAACTGTTACCAAGCAACTATAATGTTAACACGGGTCAAAACCTGTCTAATCTAAACTGAAAATGAATATCTTACCAGGACTAAACCAGGGCTAAACCAGGGCTAAACCAGGGCTAAACCAGGACTAAACCAGGACTAAACCAGGGCAAGTCTGAATGATGTTAATACTTAAGATGTGAAAACCAGACAATTGGGAGTAAACTCAAACCAAGACTAAACTAAACCAGAATTAAACTAGGACTAGACCAGGGCAAGTGTGAATGATATTAAGATGTAAGATGTGAAGACCAGACAGTTGGGACTAAACTGGGCTCAAACCAGGACTAAACCAGGACTAATCCAGGCCTAAACCAAGACAAAACCAGAATTAATCCGAGGTTAAATCAAGACTAAACCAGAATTAATCCGAGGCTAAACCAGGGCAAGTGTGAACAATATTAAGACTTCAGATGTGAAGACCAGACAATTGGGAGTAAACTGGGCTCAAACCAGGACTAAACCAGGACTAAACCAGGACTAAACTAGGACTAAACCAGGGCAAGTCTGAATGATATTAATACTTCAGATTTGAAGACCAGATAATTGAGACTAAACTCAAACCAAGACTAAACTAAACCAGAATTAACCTAGGACTAGACCAGGGCAAGTGTGAACAATATTAAGATGAGAAGACCAGAAAATTGGGACTAAATTCAAACCAGGGCTAAACCAGGACTAAACCAGAATTAAACCAGGACTCAACCAAGACTAAACCAGAATTAAACTGGGACTAAACCAAGACTAAACCAGAATTAAACCAGGACTAAACCAGGGCAAGTGTGAACAATATTAAGACTTAAGATGTGAAGACCAGACAAGTGGGACTAAACTGGGCTCAAACCAGGACTAAACCAGGACTAAACCAGGATTAAGCCAGGACTAAACCAGGACTAAACCAGAACTAAGCCAGAACTAAGCCAGGACTAAACCAGGACTAAACCAGGATTAAGCCAGGGAACGTTTGAACAATATTAAGATGTGCAAACCAAACAATCAGGACTAAACTCAAACCAGGACTAAACCAGGCCTAAACCAGAATTAAACCAAAATGAATCCAGGAATAAACCAGGGCTAAAACAGGACTAAACCAAGGCAAGTGTGAACAATATTAAAATGTGACAATTGGGACTAAACTCAAACCAGGACTAATCTAAACTGAAAATGAATATGATGCCATCAACATTCCCTGGGGGTGTGATGCTGACTGGAGGCACTGCTCCGTCTCAAGCTCTGTTACTCAAGTCTGACTAAATCTGCATTTTGTTTTAACACATCTAATGAGAAAGAGCTGTCTTGTTTGCTTGCAGATGAGATGATTTATGCTGATAAACAAGTCCCTCTCAAATAAAATTACATTCACATTTACCCGACAGTTTTTCCATTGATCACTCTCACTTTTTTGTTGGAAATCAAACTCCTAAACATAACCATCGACGTTCTTATTGATCACTGGCTCTTGAAAATGCGCCGTTTAAATCCTTTTTATATGTTTTCTGACTAATGTGTGTGTCTGCTAATCTGTGTCACCGTGGTAACTGATGAATATCTCGGCCATATACACACATACACATGAAACTCTCCCAGCGTGACGTCACTGAGAAGAATCAGCAGCTATGATTAGACTAATATAAATAGATGACCCTTTCCTTTTGGTAGCTCATTGTCTAATCTGTCAGAAGAATGTGTTCCTTGCGGGCAAACTGTCCCTGAATTTTGGAAAGAATTTTCAGTGCTGATTCTTTTTTTAGACCCCAGCTCTACTTCATGTATTTTTGTAATTTTCTTATCATTTTTTTCCTATTAGCTGCCACTTGACTGATGTAAAACTAAGATAAATATTTACCACAGGTACTATGTCGCAAAAACCAATCAAAAACCTGGAAACCCGACATAAGCGCTTTAAGACATGGGTTTGATTATTATCAGAAGCAGAGCAGTATACGTGGTTGTGCATGGGGTGATAATTTTTCCCATTGTATTTCCTGCGTCAGCTGGAGGAGTTGAAGTATCTCGGGGTCCGGAGGGGAGGATGGAGCGTGAGATTGACAGGTGGATCGGTGCAGTGATGCAGTCGCTGAATCCGACTGTGGTGGTGATGAAGGAGCTGAAGCAAAAGGCAAAGCTTCGGATTTACCGTTCCTCTCACCTAAGGCCATGAGCTTTGGATAATGATCGAAAGGACAAGAAGGTGGATACAAGCGGCTGAAACGAGTTACCTCCAGGGTTCCAACTTTTTTCAAAACAAACTAAATTTCTAAAGTTTTACATGACTTTTTCATGACCTAAAGTGAATTTCCCATGACTTTACGGCACCTACATGTGTAGAATTGATCAGACTTTTAGGGAAGGGGTGTCAAACATACAGATTTTCTACTAAAATATTTTAATTATATTTTCCATTAAAATATTGGTAATATTCTGCACTGTTTAGCATAGCAGTGTCTCCAGCGTCTCTGTACGTGGCCCCTCCCACCAGTGCAGCACAAATGAAGACTTGTCTCTTTCCAAACGCTCTTAAAGGACGATCGTTTTGACTGTTGACCGTGACAACCTCATCAGCAAAATGACAAAAATGAGAAAAGTGGAGCCGAGTGCAGGATTTTCCAAGAAAATTTGACTTATTCCTATTTACATACAAGTTCATGTTAAAACATTGTGTTGAAATTGCATTTTTCTTAAAGTTTCAGGTTGTTCATAATATTATAATATTTTGTAAAAGAAAGAGTCCATCAATTCAAAAAAGATTTCTGTAATAGATTTGTGTTTCTCTGCACAAATATTTCAACTTCTTTTTGGGGTTTATATGCCATGAGTTTTCTGATCAGGCCCCTTTGGGATCAAAGTAGGTTGGATACAGCCCCCGGACCAAAATGAGTTTGACACCCCTGTTTTAGGGCTAAATATGAAATGTTAACCCTTTCCACTCACCTTATGGTTTGGTTTTATAGTTTTTTTAACATTCAAAATACTGTCAGTGCATTTATTGTCGTCTCTTTTAAAGCTAAAGCTGCATATTTGGAAATAATCATAATAGCCTAATGACAACTTAACTGAACGCTGTAGTTGCGTGAAAGAGACATCAAAATTCTATGACTTTTCCATGATTTCCATGACTGTGATCACCCTGTACCTCTGCAGAGTAGACGAGGATCTCAGAGTAGAGTCGCTGCTCCCCCCACGTCGAGAGGAGCGGCTGAGGGGAGGGCGTCTGATCTGGGGAGATGTTTTTAATACTTTTTTGAAACCATGGCAAGCCACTTTTAAACAGTGTTTTCCTGTTTACCCGAGCTGCCAAAAAAAAGGACTTTCAACAAGACAAAGTTTAATTTAGACCTAAAAAAGAAACATCCAGCTTTTATTTTATTTTCCATTGATGCATCAGAGGCTCCATTTTCCCCAAACACAGTTAGGTCCAACAACAGAAACTTTACGTCAGGCTCACAAATATTGATGTTTGACCATATACTTTTGATAAATGTAGCACTTTTCCACCTTCGGGGCACTCAGAGCACTTTACAGCAAGGAACCATTCATATCTCAGTATACACAGTCAATGGATGTGAGGCTTTCATCTGCCCTCATCAGCGGATCTGACCCCTGTGATGTTTTTGTCCGCCAACCTTCAGATCAGTGAACGAACACTCTACTAACTGAGCTACGATCACCCACAGGTTTCAGGTTGAGGTCAGGGTTAGGATCATGATCAGAGTTAGGATCAGGGAACAGATCGGTTCAGGGTTTTGGGACAGATTTGCAAACAAAACTGAGCTGTGATGTTTAAGCAAAAGAAACTAATAAAGGGATTAGTCATTAGCCCAACTGTATTGAATAGATGATAAAAACTACAGTCAGCGTCTCTGAACTTTAACATTTGCTGTGATTACATCTGCTGATTATGAAATTACATCTCTCCATGGAAAATACAGCACGCAGCATTTGGCATTTGGAGTGACATGAAACTCTAAGCCCTGCCCTGGACAAAATGCCGAGAATTTAGGGAGTTCCCATCTAACAACTTATAACAGAGAAATATATGATTCAATTCACCAGTTTTTCAGTGATTCTACGGTAAAATGGATTCGTCTGAAATAGATGAGACAGGCCGAGTCTCTGTGCGCTGGAGGAAGGGCTGAAGCTCTTATATTAAAGCCGTTTTTTCTCATGTTACACTGTGAACTGCGGATGTTTATAACCCAGCTCCTCATTTTCACTGTAATGTTGTTTTTACAGCAGGATCAATATTATGATACACAGGCTCGGCGGAGACAGTATATCTCTCACTTCATCTATAGATTTTTTTGTCTATTCTGCTTCGCTCTTCAGCAGATTTAAACGTCACATCTTTCCCCTCAGTGTCAATTAGAACATTTCTTATAGCAATTAAAATGTGCTGTAATGACCACCTGGAGATAGGAATGTGTTTTTTACAGCTACAGAAACAACTTTCATTGGATAAATGCAAGACAGATATATTTAATGACATACTGTGGAACATTCTGGGCAAAGATCATTGTATTTAAGATTTCTGTTTTCCCATTTTGGCCATTTTTTTAGGTTTAAAATTTTGCCTCCTGGTTGGAAATCATTAGTCAGGCTTGCACCACCTAGTGCAGGCATGTCTAAACTACGGCCCGTGGGCCAAATGCAGCCCTCAGACAAATCTTTCTTGGGCCTCAGGCTTGCAGGTGAATTGGCACAAATTACATGGCATCAATTAGAAATTAAATTTTTACTGCAAGTTTTTTGAAAATCTACTTTGATAAGGCTAATATTTAACACTTAGTGTGTGGTTTTAAGAATCGTAAAATGAATAAAGACTGGTGGCTCATTCTAACCTGATAAACATGCACATATTTCAATTATTCACTGTATTGAGCACCAGTCTACGACCCTCGATCAGCCCTCTGGTACATCTGTGTTTAGATATGTGGCCCTTGATGAAAAATGTTCAGACACCCCTGACCTAGTGCCTCTGCTCAATTTAATTTCTCTCCAGCGACTAGGTCAGGAATCGGAATACACTAGAAGATTTGCAAAAACCTCGGAAGTGCATGTTCAGGCATCAGCCAATCAGCGAAGAGCCATACATTCAGTGTTGTCAACAATTCCCAAAATCGAGGATTTAAAGATGGCACAAAGAGAATGTTTGGTGAATTTTATCAAGCAGAAAGACATTATTGCCCTTCCTATGGGATTTGGGAAAAGCTTAATATACCAGTTAGCCCCGTTAGCGGCACATTACCAAATAGCAGCAATTGGTTATATTGAAAAAAAGTACCCGCCTACCGTCAAGCGAATGAATCCTAATGCTGCGATTTCAGGCAGTTTCTAAGAAGTGAAACTGTCTGATGAATCAGGCTAGGAAATCATGACATCAGACTAGGGAATTCCATAACCGTTGTAAGAGCCATTTCATAAGGCTTACATATTTGCATAAATAATTAACAATTTATAATAATTCATTTGTATTTTTGTTTACACAGCAATGTAAAATGTTTCAGTACATGATTCTATAGGTTTAATTTAATTTTGATACATGATTTGCACATTTGGGGGGGGGGGCGCTACTGCTTATCTGTTGTATTCTCATTTAATTACATGTGAAGAAATGTTGTTCTTGAACTTTGTTAAAAAGAAGAACCAAACCGGGACTAAACCAGGAAAAGAAAAAGATGGCTGGAGCAACACGGTCATTTTACTCTGCTACAATGACATCAAGTTGTTAGACAGGCTCATTAGATCTTTCTTTAATTAAATTAGTAACAAGGAGAAAATGAAGTTAAAGATTAGCTTCTACAACTGTCACCAAGCAATACTCCTTGAATGTACACAGAAATTATTATCTGACAAATACAAATATAAGAAAGCACCTTTATTTTGTTGAAATCATGTTGAAAGTATCAGAAAAGATGTGTTTCTTATGTGTAAACTGTGCTTAACATTTGGATACAATTCTCACAGTGTTTTAAAACTCTCACCTTCCTGTAATATTTTTCAACTTTTCTTCACAAATTGCTTCTTTGTTGGTGTAAAACTATAATTTATATTTACAACATGTATTATTCTACCTAATTAAGTCCAAATTTGAGAATAATAAAAATCTGTCATACGCACTTCAAGGTTCTCTCTGACGTTTTTATTGAAATTCAATTATTTATATATTCTTGTTTATGAATATCTTCTGTAAACTTATCAAGATTTTACAGGGTCTGATAGTTTTTTCTTTGGATTTTACGAGCAAAAATTTCATGATACCCTTGTGCCCTTGTCAGTAGCTCCAAACTTTCCAGAACACAGATTGAGCCTGTAATTCTAACGCAGGGGTTTCCAAACTTTTTTCATGATAGGCCGCATTTTCAAACATAGATCACGCTTAGGGTCATAGACTAGTAATCGTTAAAAATAATCACTTTATTTCTGAGATTTTAAAGTACTGCCCCAACCTAATGCAGTGTCAGAAGGTGCACTGTGTAACTTTTCTTGTGTAGGGTCCCACAGTATGGTATTAAACCTTTCTATCTTCATGGAACTCAAACCAGACCAAGTTACAGGTCAGATCTGTGGAGCAGCAACCCCATTCACAGTCAGAATTCCTGTTTTTCTAAGTATTTTTGAGCTATAAAACCACCTGTAATTCAATAAATATGCATTAAGATCTATTTAATGTCATACTGTGGAACATTCTTAGCAGAGAAATCAAATATCCATAGAAACAAAAAGGTGATGGACCCCCAAACAAAAAGTTACACAATGCACCTTTAATATCAGGCCTGTCTCACATCAAAATGGTGAGATATTTAAGTTATTGTAGTAGAAGATGTAAAACTAACAGTAAATTTATTTTAATATGGGCCAATTCACTTGAAAGTTTGAAGACCCCAAAAAAATAGCTTGAGGACCACTTCTGATCCCCGGGCCATAGTTTGGACACTTCTGTTTTAAGGGGAAGAAAGGCAGAACACCATGTTACTGACCCTTTACCGAAAAGTGTGCCTTTAAAATGATTATTGTTTTGTCAATAACTCACAAAGCGTGAATCAATGTCTTTGTCTCGATTTTTCCATTTCTGCTTTCTCACTGTTTGTCTGGGAAAGTGTTTGGTAAAGTCACATAAAAAACATTTACTTGATATTATTTTATTTAGTTACATATATAAAAACACTATATTTTGACAGTATTACTTCTTATTTCTTATGTGTGGGCTGCAGAATCTGGCAGTAGATTGGCAGTCAACAAAACACTAATTATATGACCAAATATTTACTTTTGAGGCATTTTAAGGTCGTTCCCAAAGTATATTTATCCAAAAATTGTACAGTGCCCCCTAATACCAGTGCATAGTCAATTCAAAACAATATGTCATGTTTTCCTTTCAAATGTACATGTTAACTGTATAATAATGTTTATGGGCTTAATATTGATTTAAAGTAAATGAAGCAAATAAATGATGTAAAGTTAATTTCAAACTCCACTTTCTGAGTCACAGATTTGGGGAATTATAATCTTATTTTTGGCCCATGTGTTTTATTTTCAGTGATCTTTCTCTATCAGGCTTGGTGTTTGTTTCATGTCAGTGAAAACAGAAATTAGATATTATGCAGTGAGAAATAGTTTATCAGAACTGCTTTCCTAAATGAATCTTTTCCCCATTTTACTTTCAGACAGTTCAAAATATCTGGAGTTAATCTCGACTATAGGAACAACATGAACCAAGACCCATTCATTTTTTTGCTCAATTGATTTCAGAGTGGTGCAAAGTGTTAAGCGTTCTTCCACCAGTCAGAAGTTGTAGAGTTTGAATCTTCCCTAAACTCATACTGTCTTTGTGTCCCTGGGCAGGACACTTTACCTTGTCAGTTTACTGTTTCTAAATGCCAGGTTAAGCACTAATTAAAATATTACCAACATGTTTATTACGGTAAAGGCTAGTAGATTACACCAGTTCCATAAATACAAAAACTGAAGTTATAAAGCACATGTCAGATTGTGTATTTCTCAGTCTGAGCCGACACTGACATCCATACGCTCAGATCCATACGCTTTGGTGGGTTTCTCTATTAATGTTAATTACATTAAGTTCTTCTTTCCTCTAGTTCAGTGGATAATTAGCAATTTGTCTTAATGAGTGCTGAAAGGATCACTTAGAGCAACTTTTCAAGGTTTGCAATTAGAAACTCCGTGGTAGATATGGAAAAAAAAAAAAAAGACTCTTGCTCTCAATAGACCAGCTACATTTATTTAAGGATCAAATACTAACTTGTGTATTCTGTATGAGTCTGCAATACCAGTATAACAGTCCAGTATAACATGCTGCCCTCCTGACCTCGCATTCCCCATTATAAATATTATTTTTCCGACTGTAAAACCTTTTGAAGAGTGCAGTTCATTTGAGATTGCCCTGGATATAAACTGTCTGGTACATGGCTCTTACATAAAGCTTTTTCTATTTGCACAAATATGAAGGTATCATCCCGTGTGCACTGGACTATAAAATGTAGCATTGAAAGCTCGTAAAAGGCAGCAGTGGATCAAAGGGTACGTCTTTTACTGCGCGCCGCTGTGGAGACGGCTGTGCGCGCGGATCTGTCACGTGTGCGCGGAGAGCCAAGAAGAGAGCCGCGCGCGCTTCCAGTCCCAGTGTCTCACCTGCGTCTGGAGCGACAGGTTTGAGCTCAACATGTAACTTCTTTCACACGACACGAGAGATGGAGAACCAGAGCGACGCAGTGCTGCCGCCCCCCACCAAAGCGCTCCTCGGGGTGGGTTTGGATAACTTGATCTCGCTCTTCATCTTCGCTCTGATCTTCATCCTCGGGGTCCTGGGGAACACTTTGGTGATCACGGTGCTCGCGCGCAGTAAACCCGGGCAGCCGCGCAGCACAACCAACATCTTCATCCTGAACCTGAGTGTGGCGGACCTGTCCTACCTGCTCTTCTGCGTGCCCTTTCAGTCCACCATCTACGTGCTGCCCACCTGGGTGCTGGGCGCGTTCATCTGCAAGTTCATCCACTACTTTTTCACCGTGTCCATGTTGGTCAGCATCTTCACACTCTCCGCCATGTCCGTGGACCGTTATGTGGCGATAGTTCACGCACGGAAATCCTCTTCTATTCGCGTGGCAAGGCACGCGACTCTGGGTGTGGTGCTGATTTGGGCGCTGTCTTTGGGCATGGCGTCCCCCGTGGCACACTTTCAGGGCATAGTGGAGCGCGAGGACAATAACACGTTCTGCTGGGAGGTCTGGCCCGATCATCACCGGAAAGTCTACGTCCTGTGCACGTTCGTCTTTGGATACCTACTGCCCCTCGTGCTCATCTCCGTCTGCTATGCCAAGGTGAGTGTGCGTCCGGGCGCGCGGTTTTACGCAGAGTGGATGGAAGTGCTGCTTCTTTTTCTTTGTGATGAAAAGTTGTAAACCTAAAAGGTTCCGTAAAAATGCATGTATGTTGTTGCAGGTTTTAAACCACCTTCACAAAAAGCTGAAGAATGGCTCCAAAAAGTCCGAGCTCTCCAAAAGAAAGGTCAGTGCTGCCTCCGTAAATGGACTCAGATGGGAGTCATTTAGATCAACTTCATGATCTTATGTTTCCACTCAGATGAGCTGTAATTACAGCCTCTGTGGGGATGGATCAAATCAAACACTAAAATGCATCACAGGAGATAAAAGGTGAACCCAGTCACCTTTGCTCAGAGACACTCTGTAAAAACACACTCAAATCAGTTTGCATAAACTAAAATGTAATTTTACAGAGTTTATGTAAATTAGATATGCAAATGAGCATCATAGATAGGTGTTTGCCTCTATGTGTGGATGGATTTCCATTTGTAAGTCCATGTCCATCTGTTGGACTAAACAGGTGTAATTTGTGCTTTCTGCTCAGAATGCAAATGAACTGCACTGGTTGTCATAGACATGATGAATGGGAAGAATAGACAATGTAATAAAGATAAATATAGTTTTAAGTTGGTTTAAGAGCAGAGATTTTGTGACTCAGAGGAAATAACTGAAGCTGCTAAGATTCTTTGAACATGATGAGATACCAGGACAGCTCATGTCACATAGACACATACTGTAATGATGAAGTGCCGCAGCAGTGACATAGAAAAAATATTTAAAGGTGCACTGTGTAACTTTTCAGGTTGGGGGTCCTCTACCATGGAGCTGCTATTGCTTTGTGTGGTGTCTCCTGCTTGTTTCTATGGAGACTGAAAAGTTTAATGCCATATTTTGGAATATTGGAGGTACTGTAAAGCAATAACATCTCCAGTATTCCCATAACAGACCTTTAAAGTGAGAGTCTATCCTCTTGCATTCATCAGCTTTAGTGAATGCGTTGTACAGACGTTTGGCGTGTGGGACAAAGGAATTCCAGAGTGTGTCCGTGGAGCAGGACAGAGACAACAGCCTGTCCACAAAGGTTCTTTTCTGTCCGGTGATAGTGCTGTGCAAAAATTATGATTGTACTGAAGGACAGGAGCGAGTTTAGGGCCCTTTTCTCAGCCACAGATGTGAGGGAGTCAAGCTCTGCACCCTCTTGCCTTCCTCATCAGCTTGGGCAATCTGCCACTTACTTGTCACTGTGGAGAGGTCATAGCATTGCCAGGAATGTTCCACAGTATGACATTAAACTTATCTATCTGACATTTATTTAATTACAGATGTTTTATTGCTAAGAAACATGATGAAAAACACATGTTCTACTTTGAAGTCGAGTGTTGAAATCTCAAAATCTATTTCAATATCTCAATACTGATTTCATTACTGTAATATTAAAAAACACACTCTATTTAGACAGGAGAATTCAAGATCAGATCATAGTACTTTCTTTTATATTACTTATAATAATCATAATTTACTTGTTCTGGTGCAGCTCAAGATCACTGAAAAACTAATCAGGAAAGGTTCATTTCAGTCCGGTTGATGTGACCGTTTTTGTATCGACACCTGCTCAAATTAAAATCTATTTTCACTAGGGATGTAACAATAACCGAAATATCATGATATCGTATCGTCAAAGTCTCACAATAATATCGTGGACCATCACGATATATCAAATTACAAGTCTCTTTGCTTAAATTAAGAGTTATGGTGCAGCAATAGCTAAAGAAAAGACAGACGGAACCTACATAGACCATGATCCTTTGTTCCATTTCAGTGTAGACTACATGAAGAAATAACAGTTCTAAGCACTTTAAAGTCTTTGGATTAAGTCTTGTCAAGGCATTTTAAGAGGAAAAAGTTGCATATTCAATTTTGTTAGCTCCACAAAATATCACAATAAATATCGTACCGTGAGATTTATATCGTGAAAATATCGTACAGAGAGATTTGGATATTGTTACATCCCTAATCGTGAGCTTTCCCACGATATCGCAATAAATATCGTACTGTGAGATTCATAACGTGACAATATCGTATCGTGAGACTTGGATATCTTTACACCCCTAATTTTCAGTACTTGTTTCAGTATCAATTGGTGTCTGATTTTCAATACTTTTGACAACTTCAGTGAGCTCTCCACAGACCTGACCTGTAATTAGGCCTGATAGTGTCTCCATAGATATAGTATAGATGTGTTTTATGTCATACTGAGGTACATACATGCAAAGCAATAACATCTCCATGGAGACAGCAAGCAGGGGGCGGACCTCAACCAGAAAAGTTCCATACTGCGTCTTTAAAGGCTTCATATTATGCTATTTTCTGATTTATGTTATAATGTGGTTTCCTCATCAAAAACATACCTGAGATGTGTTTTGTTTCATTTTTACACATGTTTAACTCACAAAACCTGCATATTCAGACTGAGTTCTTTATACAGAAAACGCTCTGTTCCACCTTGTGATGTCATGTGGTAATATAGGAAGTGCTCCACTGTGTTTTTAAACTCCGCACACCTTCACTTGAATCATAATTTTAGCCCTGTAATTGCCAATCTCTACTGAACTAAAGGTAAAAGGAGCTGTTAACTTGAACATTATACCAGTACGTGACATTTTGAGCTTAGACAGACTAATTAGAAAGGACATGTGTGAATGAAAAACAACTCTGTGATGAGGTAACACGATTCTAACATGATTTAAAGCGCCCGAGAGTCAATTTTGCTGGAGGAGAGGAGGCGGTTAATGAATATAGTGAAAGAGGAGCTGGAGTTCGGCTGATCTGACACAGGAGGAAGCAGAGGAGAGGGTCAGAAGAGGCTGGTCTCAATATGTTCTGTTTTATCCCAGTACGCAGCATGATAATAACGTAATTAGCCCGTCAGTGGAAATAGCAAACGTGGTTTCGGAGCCTGGAATGGCCGTAATTGTATCCTGACTGTTCTGTTCAAATCCATTAACATTTTCACTGGAAATTTGACCCAGAGTAGCAGTGGACACGATCACCATGATGTCTGAACTGGAGATTCAGACCGAGCCCCAGGACACACTTTTGACTTTTACTCTCGAAATGAGTTCATTTTTAGTCAATAATTTTATATAATGAGCTGTTAGAAGCGTAGTTCATACACTTACCCTGTAATTGACTTTACAAATCATCTACTAATTATGTCGTAATTATCATGCTAATAAAATATTCCAAAAAACAGACCAAGAAAATTGTCGTTTCCAAATAATAAACAATGTTACGATATTATGAGCACGCACACGGTAGTTATCTTTCCTCTGAGAAGATCTTCGATTCAGTTCCCCTGCTGTTGTGCCCTTGAGACAGAGTGAGTGAGTGATAATGGAGGAAAAAGTAATGTACTGTAAAATGCTTTGAGCTATAGGGCTGTGTTATGTGGTGATTAACACATAATTATAATCTCAGCCATGATTTGATATTTTGTCGATATTGTTATTTTGCATCTGAACCAACAACGATAATGACAGTGACAGTTAAAGGGACAGTTCAGATCTTTGGACATAGGACTTCATTTCCTAGTGAGCCAGAGTGTTGGAGACGTGTGGAGACACTTTTTAAAATATTCCATCCAGAGGTCGCTGGTGTCAATGGCCATAGTTATCCTGCCACTAAAAACAGTCTTACCCACTCCACAAAACACAAAACACCCGAAGCAAATCTATTATTACACCAAACTGTTGATGTTAATGTCTGTGTTAGAATAATGTTTGAAATAAAACTAACCTTGCATCCCTTGAATCGTCGCATGTTGAGGGACTATTTTCTCATATATCAGTCCGCCGCTGCTGAGCTTTTTATCAGGAAGTACAACTCACTGCTGCTGCTCAGACATAAATCCTTCAAATGCAAGGTTGGGTTTACTTCTAAAATTGTTCTATCAACACAAACATTTACATCGACAGTCTGGTGTAATCATAGATTTGTTTCGGGTGTTTTGTGGAGTGGATAAGACTGTTTTTAGTGGCAGGATAACTATGGCTGTTGACATGCACTAGCCTAGCCCCAGCGACCTCTGCAAATACAAGGACTGGATGGAATATTTTAAAAAGTGTCTCCACATGTCTCCAACACTCTGGCTCACTAGGAAATGAGGTCCTATTTCAAAATTCTGAACTATCCCATTAAAGGTCCTACAGTAGACAAAATTGTCTTGAGATCTTTAAGTCATGTTCTAATGCTGTTACCTCCTCTAAAACAGACCTCTGGTTGTGTTTTGTTTCATTCACACATTTGAGTAATCCTTTATTAACTGTCTACATCGTCTGTCTACATCTCCAAAGTTCAAAATGCTCAGTTCGACCTTGTGATGTCATGTGATGTGTGAAGCGTTTTACTTTTTTGTGTGAAGAATCTCTCAGTTGTCCAGGTAGAATCCATGGTGAGGAGAAAATTCAGTTTGTCGACTGGACAAAAGTTTATTTGGTTGAAAACGTTTTGCAGCTCATCCAAGCTGCTTCTTCAGTTCAGTTCAGTTCCATTACGGCATTGAATTGTTATGCTAATTAGACCCCACACCCTGCACAGGTCAATAGGCCAAACTAACAAACAGAAACTGTAAACAAGTAGGTGTGTTAGTTTCAGTTAGTTAGCTCCTCCCTGCAGATATAAGGAAGAGTCCACCAGCGTCTGACCAGAACTGAAGAAGCAGCTTGGATGAGCTGCGAAACGTCTTCAAACAAACTAACTTTTGTCCAGTCGACAAACTGAATTTTCTCCTCACCACGTTTTATTTTTTGTTCAGTAGAGATTGGCAATTCCAGGGTGAAATCATTCAAATGATTTTAGTGAAGGAGTATGGAGTTTAAAAACACAGTGGAGCAGTTCTGTATTACCCATTCAGTCTGAGATAAGAACTCTTAGCCTAAATATGCAGGGTTTGTGTGTTAAATGAGGAAACAACTTATAACATATATCAGAAAAAAGCGCAATGTGAGAGCTTTTTATTTTTATGTATCATTGAAATCCTTACAATTACACAGAATAAAGTCAGGCTTATCAGTACGTATATTAAATCTAAAATGTTTTATCTGTATTGTTTATTTTAAGCATCTTTGAGTGTCCATTATTTATCCTTTCCCTCTTCTCTCTCCTGTAGACCGCTCTGACTGTTCTGGTGGTAGTGGTGGTCTTCTGCCTCTCCTGGTTGCCCCATCACGTGGTCCATCTCTGGGTGGAGTTCGGCACGTTCCCCCTGAACCAGGCCTCCTTCGTCTTCAGGATGGTCGCCCACAGCTTGGCCTACAGCAACTCCTCGGTGAACCCCATCATCTACGCCTTTCTGTCCGAGAACTTCAGAAACTCCTACAAACAGGTGTTCTGGTGCCATACCCCAGACTGCCCCCTCCACGACCACAGGGACCACCGCAGCAAAATGGACACGGCCCTATCCACCAATATCAGCGCCACTTCCAAAAACATGGACTCACAATTCACCAAGGTGATCTGAGTGCGCTCACAATGATTATTTATGTGCTAATGCAAAGTGTACAGAAATAGAACAGATGGACATTTTAAAGGAAATAGTTGTGAGGATGTGTTGTATATAATTTTACAACCACTGTATTGGATTGTTTTGTTTAAAGGGCACATATTGCGCTATTTTCTGATCTATGGTGATGCTATAATGTTGTTTCCTCATCAAAAAACAGACCTGGGGTTGTGTTTCATTTTTTTTTATTTTTTTTTCATTCACGCATGTTTAACACACAAATCTTGCATGTTTAAGCCGTGTTCTACTCTCAAATGGAAAAGCTGTGTCCAGTCGTCCAGGTAGAATCCATGGCAAAGGAGAAATTCAATTTGTCTGACAGGTTTGCCTGCAGACAGGTTTATTAGATTGAAAACATTTCATAGCTCATCCAAGCTGCTTCTTCAGTTCTGAATTGAAGAAGACACGCGTTGCCTCGAATGGAAAACACTCCACCTTGTGATGTCGTGCTGATCCACTGTGTTTTTAAACTCCACACACCTTCACTAAAATCAATTGGATAATTTTAACTCTGGAATTGCCAATCTGTACTAAACTAAAGGTAAAAGGAGCTGTTCATGTAAAAACTACTGCTTTACTATCAAGGATATGATTAGCCAGGCTGGCGCCACCTAGTGCCTGCGCTCAATTTCATTTCTCTTCAACAACTAGGTCAGGAAAAAGAATACACTAGACTGTTTGCAAAAAACCTGTTTGCGAGTCCGGGCACCAGCTACTAGGTGAAGAACCATACATTCTGTGCTGGCAACGATTTCTGAGGTCAAGGATTTAAAGCCTGAACAAAGAGAATGTTTGATGAATTTTATCAAGGGGAAAGACGTTATTGCCCTTCTTCCTTCGGGATTTGGGAAAAGCTTAATGTACCAGTTAGCCCCGTTAGTAGCGCATTACATACATCACGACCAAACGGTTAAATGGTTAAATGAAAAAAGTACCAAGAGCAAACAAATCCAGATGGTTTCTACGAAGTAAAACCGGCTGATGAGTCAGGCTAGGATATGATGTCTGGGGGGAGTCTCAGGGTGGGGAGCGCTGTCACATACAGTGTTGTCGGGATAGGTCGTATAAATAGAGCTTCTGGGTAACTGAAGGCGTGGTTGAGACGAGCTGTGATTGGCTGGAGAGGAGGTTAAGGATACCTGGTCCAGCTCCTGAATCTATTATCTCCACTTCATGACATCACAAGGTGGAACAGAGCATTTTGAGCTTTGGAGATGTAGGCAGACTAATAAACTAGGATTGTTCAAACATGTGAATGAAACAAAACACAACTCCAAGTTCGTTTTCGAGGAGATAACCGCATTCTAACATGGCTTAAAGCTTGGAAGAGTCAATTTTGCATTATACAGGACCCTTAAGAGAATTTCCTGTAAAAAAAAAAAAATGGATTAAAAAGACAGTGGAAGGACCTCACGACTTGGAACGCAAAGAGCTTTTCTCACAGACAGTGACTATAACTGAATAAATGTAAATGTTGTGCAGACTCCGGGTTCAATGCGATGTGAAGCTTGTTTCTCAGACTGTGTACAGTATTTAATTATCAGAATAATATGTACATTTAAAGAGAATGTCTATGATATGTTTGGTATTATGTCAAGACACTGTATGTATCAGCAGAATTGTGTCTTATAACATATACAGTGGAATTTACATAACAATACGGAGCTGAATTATAAATGTATTTGTGGTTTTCTACACAGACGAGACAGACTGCAAAGAAGCAAAGTACATTTTATGATTTTATTTTTATTTTTTGAGAGCATTTGGTAACTAATTCAGGAAACAGAGGCGCGTTATCAGGGAGTTCTGCATAGGTCTTTATCTGATTTTATTTTGGTATGGGAATTTTCTCTACGGACTCTTCCCACGAACAGATCATGATCCAGGTCCTTTCCCACGAAATATAGACTATTATAAATCCTTTTTTGTACAGAGGAGACAACAATTCAGTCTGTCAAGTTCTATGATAGACACTCACAGAATGTATGTTTTACTCAGCAAAAATTTGGCAAAACCTGTCAATGCCTGTAAATGAATAAATGCAACATAAATTAGATTAGTTTAATGTTTAGACTGTAAAAAGAAGTGGGCAAAGGGAGTGTGGTGTCATACAAAAAGTTCAGCTCCAGTCAAATGAAGCTCACTGAGGCTGGAGGTTATAGGGGCGAATTTGGAGCCAACCTCTACATAATAGGAATTTATTAACAAAATACCAAAATAAAAGCACCAGGATCATGCAGAGAAGGCTAATACAAAGATTTCAAGACCAGAATGACAAGGCTCACTGCAGCAGGGAGTTGCTACAGCAGGGGTCTCCAACCTTTTTTCCTCCGGTGAGCTACTTTTACAAAACAAAAATGCCAGAAAGCTACTAATTTTAGCGGTGACAAGAAACAGAGCATATATAAGTGCCACAGCCTTAGATGAGGTACAGTAGGGTGACCAAACATCCGTTTTTCCCCAGACATGTCAGATTTTTGCGTCCTGTCCTGGGCGTCGGGTTTTTGTTGTTTTGTTTTTTTAAGTGATGGAAATGTCTGGGTTTTCATTACTGTTAATTGGGGTCATTAAATTGAGCAGCTCTCTTTGCTCTCTGTGACTCAGAAGGAGCGAGCAAACACAAACAGTCGGTCAGTCTGCAACATGCCGAAGCGCAAATGTGCATTTAACGATGACTTGTACAAGAAATTCTCCGTTTTCAGTACCGGTCGGGACAAGTGGGAGGCCATGTGCTCAGGTTGTAAGGTGAGAGTAGCTCAAGGTTGAGGTCCCACCCCCGGTAAAGTGTCCGGGTTTTCAGTAACGGAAATATGGTCACTAACTTACAGTTATATATAAAACATAAACCATTATTCATTCATTAGTGTACAATGAATACAGTGGTGAAAGGCATTTAATTAATGAAATTTTACTTATTCAGGACAAAACGTGTAATTCAGAAATCCTTTGGCGAACTACTTGGAAGGGAGTGGAGAGCTACTGGTAGCTCCTGAGTTACAGGTTGGAGACTCCTGTGCTACAGTACTCCAATGGAAGTCATTTCAAGCCAGGGTCAGAAGGAACCGGAAGCGCCTCCATGCTCACTTCCTTTCGGGGCAGATTAGCTATGTCCATTTTGATAGACCAGACCTGGGCATTGTACAATTCTGGGGCGACATACGATCCTTTGGTTGACTCTGCCCGGCCCCTTTAAACTAATTAATTTGGAATTACAAGATAAACATATTTTATAATTTTACCTCATAGACTAAAGCTGCATTGATTTTATTTTAGAGGTGTTTTTTTTGTAAGGTAACCTCACTTTTTCATTGCTTAGTCATAACATAAACTCTTACCAGTCCTACCAGCATGTCAAAACAATACGATTTACTGCTTTTTATAAAGAAATGCAATTAACATTATGCAGAATTGAGTTAAGCGTTTTGACCCGGTCCTCCACAATATTTTCTGTTTCTCATGAGACCTCATGGAAAAAATAATTGCCCACTCCTGATAAATAAAGTCTGTGGTTTAATACTGTCAATCCAACACTGGAAAAGTCACACAGATGAGAGATTTTTAACCTTTCATTTAATTTAAAAAGATCAAATCATGTCAGTCATCATGTCATGTGTACTTACATATGAATTCATAATGCTGAAGTGCTCCAAAAGGTTTTATTTAGTTAAAGTGCCTATGACGGGTTAGACTACTCATTTTACTACAACACAGTTAAAGTCATTATCTTTATAGGTGCATTACGTAACTTTTACATAATGCACCTTTAACAGAATCAAAACACATTTCCTTTGTTGCTCAGGAAAATATACAGTCTCGTTGTAAGATAGTGATGGTGTTTTTTAATGGAAAAAATATTCGGTGTCACTGCAGCTATATCCTGCTGTTTTGTTCTATATATAAAGTAAACATCATTTCCGTGTTGGTCATTTTGTTCTTTCTGTTGTCGTGGAAACAGAGGAGTGCAGCCCTTCCATAGCTTTGACACAAGCGTTTTCCTTGGCCCTATGCCCCGCGCTCTTCTGCGGTTTAGTGTGTGCACATAAGAGAAGCCATTTGTTCATTTAAAGTAACGATGAGAATGACCCTGATCCAGAAAAACAAGGTCAAAATATATAACAATCAATCTATGGACAGGTATGTGGGAATATTTCTAAACCTGCATAGACTCAAGAGATTTGATATGTTCACAATATGCTTCTCATGGTACGATTTTGTGGAGGATACAAAATTATGAATATGCTGCTTTTCTGTCATAATCCAATTAATTAAGATTCAACAGTTTTTAATAACAGTTATTTCATCATTTAAATTGGACTGAAACAGAGCAAAAGGATCATGGTCTATGTAGTTCTCCTGATTTTTAGCTGTTGCTTCACCATAACAATTAATTTAAGAAAATAATAAAATAAAATAATAATTATATATGTTGTGATGAGTTAAGACGTTTTATCATGATTTGAGTAAATTTCACTTGACAAGTAAAATTATCTGCCTAAAATATGAAAATACTAGCCAGGCTGGCGCCACCTAGTGCCTCCAATCAATTTTATTTCTCCAGCTACTAGGTCAGGAATTAGAATACACTAGATGATTTGCAAAAACTCTAAAAGTGCGAGTTCGGGCACCAGCCAATCACTGAAGAGCCATACGTTCTGTGTTGAGGATGTAAGAGAATGTTCGGTGAATTTTATCAAGGGGAAAGACATTATTGTCCTTCTTCTTATGGGATTTGGGAAAAGCTTAATTTACCAGTTATCCCCGTTAGTGGCGCATTACATACGTCACGACAAAATAGCAGCAATTGGTTAAATTAAAAAAGTACCCGCTTACACTCGAGCGAATGAACCCTAATGCTGCGAGGTCTCACAGTTTCCACAAAGTGAAACCGGCTGATGAATCAGGCTATGAAAATACACTTAAAATAAGAAAAACAACAAGTTTTTGCACTTAAAATAAGAGACAAAATTTGAATGTTAAGAAAAAGACACTTATTCCATTGGTAGATCATTTTACTTGTCAAGT